AACATCAACAAATAAATTCTCAAATTGGGTAATTAAACCTTGATTAAGAATCTAAAATAGCTTATAATTTATCGTTACATCGATTAATTTTTGATTTTAATGAAATGAGAAAATTATTAAAATTTATGTTGTATTATTCGTACATCCTTACTAATATTATAAAGGCAAAAGTTTGTATATATGGCTACACGGAGTAGCTAACAAATCCATTTCAATATTATTTTAACAATATATGTATACATATATTCGATGCTGTTTAATAATACAGATGATGCATGCCCATACTGCGTAGCGTTTAAAACTTGTTCCAGTTTACCTTATATCCTTACTTAATATTATAAAGGCGAAATTTTGTATGTATGTATGGATGGATGTTTGTTACTATTTCACGCAAATATTACTGAATGGACTTTAATGAAACTTTACCATTATATAGCTTATACATCAGAATAAGACATAGGCTATAATTTATATACATATTTTATGTATATCTGTCTTTCCTTTCCGTCTGAATGTTACGCCTTCAGCCTACGCAGACGTAGTCGCGGACAGCAGCTAGTGGCATATATAAGTGATTGTGGCAGATGACAAGGAAAGAGATAGCAATATATGGAATCGCAGTCTAATTACGCCAATTGGTGTAATTTCAGTGCCTAAGTTTCGGTGCGCTAATGCCAAATCTACCATTTATTTGTATATAATATCATTGCATACCTACATACTTTTTATTAGACAAAATTGGTTAAAAATGTTAGTTATTTTAAGGGAACTATCACAATTGCTGGGATCGTAAAGCGTCGCCATAAAATACGATACATGATTTATTATATCCATCTTACAGTTAAAAATATAAAAGTTTTCTTTTGAATTTCACCGGCGCTGTGTAACTAGTAGGCTATTTAAACATTTGTGCTATATCTGGATTTGTGACTTGTTTTATTCTTCGGAGTTTCGAGTTGTGATGAATGGCTGGTGTGTAATATTTCTATTTCTTTTCATTACTTTGTTGAACTCATCAAAAGTAGTCTAATGTCTTAACGTAAATACTGAATGAATATACTTATTTAAGCACACGACTTACAATTTTCCTGCATATACAGTAATTATAAATCAACATCGCGTTAATCCTCCACTAACAATATGTCTGTACAAAAGACCGCTTGTTCCAGTGGGGGCATTTGTGTTTAATTAATACTCTAGAAATGAAATTTCCACGAAATTTCCAATGTGGATTGATAAATTATTATTGAGATATAATTCACAGCAAATTTTATTTGCTACCAGTAACTAACATGTAAAATTACACTTTAGAACACAAATGGGAACCATAAGTTTAATAGAGCTATTATTACGCTATGGAACTTAAGAAGTCAATCTTCAAATCTTGATTGAATGAAAAAAATTGAAAGAAGAAATTAAAAAAAAATAATAACTTTTTTAGCAATCCATAAGATATGAAGTAACATTTTTATGTTGTAAATACTTGTATTCTGGAGAAAAATTGGCAGTTCTGAAGTATGAATGGACTTTTACTATATTAGAATATTTATTAGGTTTTTATTTTATACTGACTTAAAACACTATTTATATAAAAACCGGCCAAATGCTAGTCGGGCTCCCGTACGAAAGGTTCCGTACCAATATCTAATTTAATTGGTAAGTACCTATAGGTTGCCTAGCAATGATTGCCGAGCAACCGCCTCGCGTTTGTTATATGTGAGCCCCCCATTTTTAATTTTATTCTATTTTTTTAGTATTTTAGCGGCAACAGATATACATCATCTGTGAAAATTTCAACTGTCTTACTATCACGGTTCACGTACAGCCTGGTGACAGACGACCGACAGACAGACAGCGGATTCTTAGCAATATTTTCCTGTTTTACCCTTAGGAAAACCTAAAAATAATACTAGAAATTAACAGTATTGTAAAGATTTAATATTGCCTTTGAGTTACTTTTCCTTTAGCTCTTCGTCAGTTTTCAATCTTACCCTTTTTCTGATTTTTTAATCTTTACTCTTAGTTTTCCTGGGCACATTTCTGTTGTTAGACTACATAAATAATTTGCCGTATGTGGTAGAAAAAAGGTCTCAAATCATTTTGTTTGCGGATGACGCTTCACTGTTGTTTAAGGTTAATAGGAAAGATGTTACATTAGAGCAACCAAATGAAATACTAAGTGTCGTGTCGAGCTAATTTGCGACCAATAATTTACTTTTGAACGCCACTAAGAATAAGTCTATCAGATTTACTTTATCAAAGCTGTCTCACTTTAAAAAACCAGGGATCTTTATTGATGACAACATCTTACCTCTTGAGGTTTCCTCGGAATATGCATTGACTCCAAGTGGCAATGGGGAGCTCATATAGATAAATTAGCTAAGAAGTTGAGCGCTGCCGTCTTTGCCATTATTTTCACAATATTATGTCTTATGGTGTCCTACTTTGGGGTTCCTCATTCGGTTTAGGAACTATATTTGTATTACAAAAGCAAACGATACGGGCTGTCTATGGCTTGGGTCCACGTGAGTCCCTTCGGCATATTTTTAAACAAATAAATATTTTAACGCTCCCGTCGCTATACATCACTTGAGAACATCATGTATGTGCAAAATAACATACACCTTTTTACAAAAAAAAAACATACCACATCGCGTCGGGGCCGTGGTGACACGTTGGAAATACCGAGGTTTAGACTAGCTAAAACCAGGAAATCGTTTCTTGATAGATGTCTTAACTTATATAATAGAATAATTGACATCCACAAACAATTAAGTGTAAATAATTTCAAACATTTTGTAAAAGCCACCTTAATGGAAAGGGCCTATTATAATTACTCTTGCTCTGCACTTGCAAGTCCCCTGGCTCCTGCTAAATTATACTAAAATAATTTTGTGTATATACTTAAATAATTAAAAAATATATAGATATGACCGCAGAGTTTGTTGCCGGTTCTTCTCTTGCAGGTCTAGTTTAGTGAACAGTTGGTAGTTTTGACATTCAATAAGTGCTTAAAATAAGCCTATCTTGAGTACAGAAATTTTGACTTTGACGTGAAAAATTGGAAAAATGAATGAGGATTTGTCCCGATATATACTTCTAGTCAATAACGTACAACAAAATTACGTACAGCATTGTTATTTTTCCAATTTCACGGCAGACGCTGAAGGACACGACGGGTTGAACTGCATGGTTACTTGAAAATGTGTCGTCAAATGGTGCCAAGTAGTGACATTTAGAGCAAATAGAGAACCCTTATCCCTGGAGTGGTATAGAACAGCTGATAAAATTTATTATTTTGAGCTACAGTTTAATATTACGCCGAGCTTTTGTGACTTGAGTGATAACTGCATTACGTTTTAGCCTTTAAGGTCACAACTTCACCATTATTTACAAAGAACGTTGTTCATCGGTAGTAATCTTTTTACACTGTCATATATTTGTGCAATACAAATGTTAATGATTTTTAATAGATTAATAGGGTATTAAGATATATTTTTCCTACTATTATAATCTATATTTTTAATCTAAACTGTAACTTAATTCATTTATCAATCTCTCTATTTCTCAGTTAGCTAAGTTATAAAGGAAACGTAAGGATTTTATAGGAAATTATCTTTTGCATTACAAGTTCAAAAAATCTATTTACGCTATAAAAACATTATAAACTATAAATTTTTATCCAACATAATATGTAACCGACTATTAATACCCAGTCTACAAATTTACTTAAAATTTTTTTGTCATTTATTAAAACAAAGTATTAAATTAGGAACTAACTGTTCGACATTTATTTTATAATTAACGTCAAATTACATATTAAACTTTGGCACGAAACACGAGCTTACTTAAACTTTTAGCTCAGCGGGTTTTACAAGGCTGCTAAAACAACTAGACAGCCCGTACGTAGTTCCAACCAGCTTTAGTATTTCTGGGTAATTAAAAAATGAAACGTTTCCATTTTTATTTTGTACTCAAATAACAATGTTTTGTTAGCAACGTTTTGAAGTATATTTCTATTTCGTATTTTATTCGACACTGAAACTACTGTTCAAGAAGGTTAGGTTCTTTAAAGTAAAAGTTTTTTTGTCTTTCATAAATCTCTTGTAATGGTAGCAAATCAATGCAGCTATTATTAAAACCCCACTCAAAAATGCACTCAGAGTTCGATTAACGCTGTAATAATACAGCGTTAATCGTCACTGATCAGCATAATCATAGTCTTATGATCCGTATTTTGTGATCCATATTACATGTTCGTTCTCATTAATGAGATAGTAAGACTGTTAAGACTGAATATTAAGACTGAAAGCTATGATTTAAATTGACGTCTCTGAATGCGACTGTACACTTAATTTATTTGAGTATGGTTTTTAAAAAGTATAGGGTAGCTTTTCTTGAGGTGCTGAAATTAACACAGGAGTTTCTGACTCGGTAGTATAATCGTTTATTGAAATAAAAACAAACTTTTTTTCCAAAAAAATTACTAATCTATTCCCTAAAAAACAAAATTTGTTGACAACGTGGTATTCATTCATAAATGCGTCGTATACTTTTGAAATGAAATTGTGTGCGTGTTAGTTGAATGATCGCGCGTAAAAAAAATTAGTTGCCCATAAATCAAACACTTTTTGAGATAAATTCATATGAAAATAATTAATTAATTACGAGTGATTTTAATTTTTTATCATTTTTATGTAACATGATTTATGTCTAGCATTTAATAAAATAATGGATACACTTAGAAAAGCCTCCCTGTATAGTTATGTACATTTAAAAATAACAACTACAGGTTTCATATTAATACTGATACGAATATAGACTGACTCATTTGTATATTTTTATTTTTCATATTGCACAATTTTTTGAACCTAAGTATTGTAATTAAATGGCCTGAGAAATAACAAATACAATAAAGTATAATTATCGTATAACATTAACAAAACAAATGCATTAAATGTACGCAATAAACGCAAGGAACGAGTTATTTACTAATATCATAAGGGCGTGTCGCTGCAGGAATTGTTAATGACATATTGCGGTGACTCCATCGCAAAAAAACCTGCAACGAAATTGAAAATATACATTATAAAATTTACTGAATTTAACACAAACGGCTAAAGAATAACTAAATAACGAATTAGAAAACACATCATTTTGAAAAAATTTTTTCAGAGTTAACATAGGTTTTTTCATGCGAAATATCATTTAGCTATAAATTATCGCTAGAAATGTATATTATAAATAACTAGTGACCCGACCCGGCTTCGCACGGGTGTAATGTATTGTACATATAAACCTTCCTCGTGAATTACTCTATCTAGTAAAAAAACCGCATCAAGATCCGTTGCGTAGTTTTAAAGATCTAAGCATGCATAGGGACAGACAGACAGTGGGACGACTTTGTTTTATACTATGTAGTGATTTGCACAGCTAGTTCTAGCTAGTATTATCTTGTAAGGTCCTTTATCTATAACATGTTCCAGCATGGTTCGAATGCATTTCAAATAAATGTTGAAAACTATTGGTAGTTCGGTACTTTCGGAATTTATTAAGACTCTGCAAGTGGCAATGATTTAATACGTGTTAATACTCACTGGACAATATGGTCCCTAATTGATCGTAATTGCAGTAAATCGGATCATTAAGAACACTGTTCAACTGGTCTTTGATCTTGGGTTTCACATCACACCATATTACGCAGCCATCATGGGACCAATCCGATATAAGCATTTTAATACTCTGTGGAATAGATTTACATTGAATAAATATTGATAAAATAAAGTAAACAAAAACATAAAAACTGCTGTTTTTATAAACTCCTATCAAAATTGATAGAAGAATTTTATGATATACAGAAATCAGTATTTCCAGACGGAAAAGAAATAAAATTACAACAGCTGATTAGTCAATTTCTACAATGATCAGTGTTTCAGTAAACGATTTTTAGTATAACATTTTAGTTTTGTTTAAATATAACTTTAACGGACTGTAAAAGATAATATACAATGACAATCAACATCCTATGTGGGGATTAGCATGTACAGAATATGTATATGCATACAGAGGGTATGCACATTTATAGGTCCTTTATCTATATGTTGAGCCGTGATAGCTCAGAGTCCGGGCGCTCGCTTTTAATTCAATATACTCGAGCTACTGGAGTTCGATCCCCGGTGCCAGCACCAACGAAATTGTTAATTTTAAGTGCTGACTTTATCATGTGCGGTGAAGCAAAACAATCCGTGCGGAAACCTGCATATTTGCGAAATAACAAAAAATATTTCGAAGATCCGCAGTGGGCCGTGTGGTGGACTATGTCCTGATACCCTCTGCAAAAAAGAGGAGGCCTTTGCGCAGCAGTGGAATGTGTATAGGCTGTTACTTTATGCACATTTATAACTTCGTTTAACACCCTGTAAAATGTAAATCCATTGAATTCTACTTATGCGTACCTCTATAAAAGTGTAGTCCATCCTGCATAATGCATCACAATGTATTACTAAAACTTTAGTTGATCCTCGTCCAACAAAATTTATGCTTCCATTGGGTACAGTTATTCGCATGTCATTGGCAACGGAAGTGACACTTTCTACAGTATGTACATTAGAAGGAAAATGTTTTTCTTTTTTTAACGAGACCAGTCTTGCTCTGAACCTTTCAGCTCCAGCGAAATGAAACCCACCAATTGGACGTACTGCATAGTGGGGAGTTATTGTTCCATCCTGGTTAAAACAATTCGTGTAACACAATTATACAAATTACCGTAAAGGAAACATTCTTATGATAAATGAAATTTTTATTAAACGGTTTCTATTTGTTTTTTTTATATTTTTATAAAACTACTGTAAGTTATTACTGGGCTTAGTCGTAACACTACCGCACAGATTCTAATTGAGAGAATTCATAAAAGAAAATATATTTTTTTTACTATTGTTAATTCAATTTACATGACTTGAAATAAGAGCTAGTGATTGATTAACGGATGCACTATAATTGACAGTTATGATGAAGTTTTGTGTACACGGGATCCATAATTATTTGTACTAATCATAAACATGTAATCCATAGAATATAAGTAGAACGCGTCTTTCATACATGTTGGCATCTTATAATTAATCATGTCAATGAATCTGTGTGTTGCAGCAGCTACTGGCCGAATCGAGTTAATAGAAATATCCATATGTGCTTTTAGTGAATTTACTCACGTCTATAAACTGCACTTCCAGAGGCGGACGGGAGTGGTAATAGAGAAGCAGCAGTATATCGATTCCAACACCACAAACCAAACCAATTTCAATGCCCAACGCCAGACAGCAGACAAAAGTTCCCGCCAGTGGTATTAGGTCCAATCCTAAGAATATGGAACAGGTCAAAAAATTTTGTAAGCCGTTCATGGTAAAAAAAAATATCTATTTTATAAAGGAACACTCCAAGGACCAATAACAGCTTGAAACAGCAGCTTCATAGTCACTAACTTATGGGTAAAATTCACGACATAATGGCGTGAACTGAACAGGAACATAAATGCGTGCATTGTGAATCGAATCGTTTTAATTAGACAGCTTGCGCATTGCATGAAATCGATTATACAAAATGGGTTTATAAGTTACTATCGTGCCGTCTGACGTTCAATAATGTTATCAAAATTCCAAATTGCGATTGGCAAGGATTCCTTTCGTTTTCCGAAATAATAAAAACGGTTATAATCATTTCAAATATCGTGACATAAGTATTAAAAGGAAAATGAAAGAGTTAAAATATGTATTCGGAATTTTGAAATAAAATTATTTAAACCATTGAGTTCATAAACTCCCACACATAATTTTTGCCCAAAGTTCATCGTTAATGTTGTGTAAAAATCAACTTTATTCCTCGATGATTAAAGGTAATGCCTTTTTACTCCGGGAGTATAGTGCATTTTATTTTAATAAAGTATAAAGTAAATGTTTTCAGCAATATGACTCACTGCTTGTGGCCCATAATTTCTTGATTATGGCCAAATCCACCATATGTAGAACGGCGCACATAATGACCGCAGCGAGTGCCGCCCGGGGTATAAAGTAAAAATACGGCGTTAACAACGCCAGGGTCAGAAGTACTATTACACCTGTAGAGAAATAATCAACAACATTGAGAACCTTTTTGAGGCCGCGAAAAATATACATTTAGCCTTGCACTTTAAGGCTTCGTCATCGAAGTTGTAATATTTCAAACTCAATTCATTTTTAAATAGGATGAGGATTTATTAGTAAGAATAAAGCAATAAAAATTGTGCTAAATTATTGAGAATATGCTAATGGGAATATAAAAAAAATTAAAACGGTCTATGCTATAGCGATGACAAAATACAACTAATTTACTGTAGCAATAAATAGTTATAAAAACATATCACTATTTATGAATGATCTAGAAAGAGCACGCAATAACATCTGTGTCAGCATTAACTTCGGTAAAGATATCGTTGGAATGTAACACCATATAGTTAAACTTTAGATTACAGGTATATAGATACCAGTATAAAACCCAGCGGCAGGAGTTTTCACTCCCGATGCGTCGCTTACAGCGCTTCGGGTGAACGAACCATTCACTGGATAAGATTTGAAGAAGGCGCCAACAATGTTGCAAATTCCCAAAGATACAATTTCTTGAGTTGCGTCTAACGTTTTTCCTTTAGCTAAAACACACAAGGTTAACATTCAAATCAGATGAGATTTGCATCTTTATCGTCATCAGCTTCCTCAATCTAAATCTATATAGCAATAACTTTATACAACGTCCTAGGTAAAAACCACAGCGCAGACCATTACAATTTACGCATTTTTTCATTTTCTTGTATTAAAGCAGTATGTTTTATCTGGGCATGATGAAATTTTTAATCATTAAGTTATTCAAATCCTCACCATCTTCATTAACATTTCGGCCTGTTTTACTCCAAATTATATTTAAATGCTTATATCCTACTTTCCTTTTTTTCAATATTGTTCTATATGAAAATAATAAAACCTGCATATATTAAATTTTCTAACCGTATCTCATTATGTTGATGTCTTAATACCCAGGCATGAACATAGTAATGTTGGCCTCCACGGCATAATCCAAACAAAGTCCCTAACACAATTTACATTGAAATTGTAATTTCGCGCGAAGAATACGCATGATTTCATAACATTTTAATGTAAATTAGAGCAGTCCGACTTTTCCACGATACAATTTTCCCAGCTAACACCAGCCGTGATTGACAAGTTATATAGTTGTAATATCTCCATTTTTGTTTTCATTTATATGCTTGTAATTTATATGAATATTAATATTGAAAGAAAGCGAAATCAATTTTAATGAACCGTATAAAGAGCAATTTCTTATATTTTATTTTTGTTCTTCATCCTGCGTTCGAAGACTTTGAAAAAGGACACAAAGTTGAGATTTGTGTTGATCATAAACACTGTGTAAATGTATATTATGAAAATATGGGTATATTTAAAACAAAAGAATATATCTTTAGAAACTTACAGAAAGCTTTTGCAATAGCAACATTAGATATAATTCCAACAACAGGGACGACAATTAATCCCGAGCCAAGGTGAGCTAACATGTCTCCCAGGGGCACCGTTGTATTTCCTACAGTGCTATGAAAAGATGGCAGATGTGGTATAGGCAATCCTGGGGTTATTGAACCTGCAATAAATGAAAAGTATATTGGTATACTAAGTAATATCAAAACGTTTAAAATATACGACATATACAAAATTACATAAATGTTTAATACAATAAAACTAATTCTTTTTCAAAAACGCGAACACTACCCATTCTTACAAAGTTATTTTATTGATTTTGTTGGGTTTTTATTGACAGGATTGATATAGGATGAACTATGACATCAGGACTTAAACAACTCCTGATATGAGACAATAAAATACACGTAAAACATTTTCAGTTACAAAACAATCGAGACTTCAAACGTCTCGATCGCGACACATTTTCTATTTCATTTTGAAGAATTCCCCCTGATGTATCTCCGGTGGTTACATGGGAGCTTACCCAATGCGAGTTTTCAATATCGGTTCATAAACGACTGAGCTTTGAGGTAACAAACAATTAAATTGAAAACATCCTCCTTTGTAAAGTCGGTTGAAAATTATCAATATAATATATTAGTTCCAAAAAACTTTGTTTAGTATACGCTAACATTTAATTAAGTATAGTCGAGCAATTTGAGTTCAAATACCTAAATAATAATTGCAATTTTAAGTGCTGATTTATCGAATTCTCAAGGAAAAGTTCGAGTGGAAACCTGCTTGAAAATTATAACAGTAAAAAATAATTTCATAGATATGTGAAGTGTGCCAATCCGCGGATAAAAGGATTATGCCCTATTAGCCACCGTCAGAGAAGGGATACGCCTCGCAGTGGAACGTATACAGGCTGTAACTTTATCTTTTTCTTGCCTCAAAAATCGGTTTAGATAATTAATAACTAAACTATTACTAACGGGAAAATAAATGAGTTTTGTTGCATACAATAACATAAAGTGCCAATGTGGGCTATCATTTTCGATACAAAGTTTGTTTTTATAATATTTTCACTTTCAAATTTCTGAAAAGTTAGAGGGGGTTACCATTTAAGTTTCCGTGACATGATATGAAATAATCGAGTGAAATCTCATTCAGTAAGAAACGTGACTTACCGGTAAGTATCAAAGGATCGCGTTTATCCTCATGTACAAGGAAAGCCAGTACAGCGGCTATAACAACTACGACTGCATTCCTTGAAACGCCAACAAACCATAGAGTCCTTTGAATTATAAGAGCACTGCGGCGGCCTTTGTCGTCTAGAGGCTGCTTCAAGCGTATATCTTTCATGGCCTGCAATACAAATTTCTCATCATTCCATTGTAGATTTTAAATAAAGTATGTCGGTCGGTGCCTTAACAATTATAACAATACTAGCCGCTGCCCGCGACTACGTCTGCGTAGAACAGGCTGAAGGCGTAACATTCAGTCAGAAAAACAGATATACATAAAATATGTATATAAATTATAGCCTATGGCTTATTCTAATATATAAGCTATGTTATTGTAAAGTTTCATTAAAATCCATTCCTATTTGCGTGAAAGAGTAACTAACATCCATCCATCCCTACAAATTTTCTCGTTTATAATATTAGTAAGGATTAGCCTCGTTTTAAATCTTGTTCGTTTTAATATAGTTTATATAACTGAGATGTTTCGGATACGTGACACGAATGCGTAATCAAACTTTGAAAAGTAGGCCACAGTTGCAACACTTCCAATTCCCGCCTCATCTTTGTGAAGCCGTGTATTATTACCCTGGACGTTTATTTTGTATACAAATATCAACGTGTTTTTAGTGAAGAATCTTTTCTAGACAAATGACTTATAATAAAAAAATGGGTGCGTGTACTTATGTATGAAAAGTTATACTTCTTTGGCATCATTAAAAAATAGTTTTTAATTGCTTGCACATAATTAATTACAATAAAATAATAAAAAGACTGGAAAAGGATATAAATAATAAAAGTAATAAGATTATGAAACCGTCATCTATATTCTTTATTGAGAACTGTAACGGGTGAATGTGATCACGGTGCCATCTATAAAATAATCAGCGATTTAGTGGGCAGCTTCCAAGGTACTTTTGTGTTACAGAGATGCGCGCATCATAAAATTTCACTCTACCCATTTTTTCATAACGCGCCTAAAGAGGTATAACTTCAAAAATCGAGGGATTCTTTATTTTATTAAGTTCTTATTACTTTATCATGATTATGTGCAGATTTAGGTATTAACAATATAACTCGATTTAGTTAATCGAGGTGATTGAAATTAATTAAAACTCTTTTGTTTTTTAACCTAACCTACCCTAACGTTAATTGTCTAGATCTTAGTCTTAGTCTATTAAATTTTATTATTTACGTCAATCAAGTATGTAAATAATTTACCTTACAAAAGTAAACCGTGATGAAATAATTGGTATTAGATGGGTACTTATTTACATTTGGAATATTAAGAAATAAAAAAAATCTTAGCTTAAAAGTTTCGAAACAGGATTGTTAGAATATTATACATACAATCGTAAAGTAATTTTTGATGAAAAGTTTGATCGATACGTAATTCGTAGATCGATTTAAGATTATTTTAGAACTCGTAGGTCTTATCTTATTCTTCAAGCGGTTTTGTCCTTGTGTAATTGTGTATGAAAACAGACCCCGAAAACAGATTTTCATGTCATTGACCACAAAACTATTTAAATAAAATTTTTTGACCGATTCTAGTTTCAAAGTAACATAAAATGAATAAATTAACACATACATACTTTTAACCAATGATTTATTAAAAGCTAAATAAATCTTCAAGGAACAAAAAGGAAGTGTATGAAATGTGACTTAATAACATTCCAAACGTTTATTTGAATATAACCTCGACTGCGTAATTGAAATATAAATGTTAAAAGTTGTTACAACAATAGTGATTGCTTTTGTAGCCGCCTGGACAATCATTAAAATGTTCAGTGCATTCGTGAGATCTTTTTTTTATGTTTGAAACAATTAACTCGCAAGACACTACAATTTTCCGCGTTGTGACTGACTATCATTAAATATACAATAGGCCATAGAATGTACTTGTTTATAGTTAACATCGTCATAGCTTGGTTTTAATGTTTGATGTAAAACATCAACTTATTACTCGTATTACATTTGTTGTTAGTAGTTCTAATATAAAAATGGTAGTTTACCTTCATTCCCATTAACACTACACAGCACGCAAGCCCAAGTAAAGTATCTTGCATACGTGTATCACCTATATGGTGGAATACACCTTCCCACGTTGTCTTAAAAGTCTCAGCTTCAAACCTCAAACCAAGAAGTCCTTTAATCTGGGATGAAGCGATCGTTATAGCTGCCGCCGAGGTGAAACCCGAAACTACGGGCAATGAAACGAAATCCACGAGAAATCCTGCAATATCAGTTGGGAAATTTTAACAAATGCTCAATTTCTAATAATGTTTAAAGATTAAAAGGTCAAAAAGGTCAATATTTACAACAACAAACGAACAGGCAGTTCACCTGATGTTAAATGATCACTGCCACCCATGGACATCTACAACACCAGTGGAGTTGCAGGTGCATTAACAACCTACTAAAAAAAGTGGGCCCCGGTTACTTCAACCATCAGATAGCCACAGCTGCGACCCTACCACAGTAAACCTTTCTCTGAAAGAATTAGTAACAAGTAAAATCATTGGTATAAAAATCTTCGCTGTAATAGCAGATACATCGGATAGAGATAAACAAGTACAGAATGGAATAGTTCAAACGTATATAAGAAAGAAGGGAAACGTTGGTAATAAATGATTAAATAATCAACGTACCGAGTTGCGCAATACCGGCTACCAAAGTGACAATGCCACCCATAAAACACAAAAGTACTGCGAAGTCGGGATTTGTTCCGCTTGTGTATGTAAACGTGAGGAGTGACAGCAGAGCGGTAGGGCCGATGTTTATTTGAGGGCATGTACCCATTATTGCGTACACAAAGCCACCGGCAAACGATGCATATAATCCAAACTGCAAAAGCAAACGCATCATATTCATTCCGTACTACACGGTACTGCATAAAGTTTACTTTATTGTATTGATCGAATTCGATTTAAACATTTAAAAAACTATTTTGTTTTTGTGAAAATAAAAGGTTTATCTTCTTAAATCAATGAAAAAATATGATTTAGGTTTGATCTTTCTTAGCGTAAGATGTAACCAAATATTATCTACTTATCTGTTATTACTTAGTCATGACTATATATAATACAACTCACCGTCATAGTGACGCTTTCTTTTATTTTGACGTAAATAGTTTTATTAAGTCAAGTTTTAAGGTGCCAAAAATAGATGGTATTTGCCATTATATTATAAGAAACTAATTGCTACTTTAGTAGCACATAATATACAAAACCCAATTGTACATTTTACAACTAAGAACATTTTACTTAGTAATAATTTTACAAAAAAACAATGTTAGTTTAAACTAAACATTGAGACCACACCTATGCCACTTATATTAAATATTTTACACCAAAATATACAAGGCATAGGTGGCAAAGAACCTGAAATTGATCTGTTTCTTAGAAGATTTAATATTCATGTCATCTGCTTCACAGAGACATGGTTACATAAGCATTTTAATATTATACATATAGAGACCTATAAATTGCTATTCGCAGTGGCTCTCTTGTGTTAGTAAGAACTGATATAGTCTGTAAAAATCGACAGGATATAGTAGCACACTCTGTCGAACGTTCTATAGAATTATCCTGCGTTGAGAGTCAACAGTATATTATAGTATGCGTGTATCGACCCCCCTCAAGTGATTTCGATCTGTTTGAGTGTGTAATGGATGATGTCATTATAAAACTCTGTTCAAGTAGTAAATCAGTAATAGTTTGTGGAGATTTTAATATGGATTTATTACAAGTGACACATCTTAGTAAACGACTTTTAAATGTATTTAGTTCATTTAAACTTAAAAATCTTTATCATGAACCAACTCGTGTCACTAACTCATCCTCCACATGTATAGATAACGTTTTCTGCCATGATGATGTATATGATAAATATGTAATAAATTATCTGAGCACTGACCACTTTGGTCTAAAATTTTCAATGAATGAAAAAGTTAATACAAGCAAACATAAGATCAAGTGTTGACCAGTCACTACTAAAAGAATAAATTCTTTTAAAGACAAAGTGGCACATCATATTGTAACTGAACCCCCCTTTTTGCGTATATATAATTAAACTTATAAATATTTTTGCCCCGTTATATGAATAAATCATATAACATCATTACGTGACCAAGAAATTTATTGATCTTTCTAAAGGATCTTTCTAAGGTAATAATTAGCCGTATGAAATATTATTTAATATACTTTTTCTACATGTTTTAATGTTCAATCTTAAGTGCAGAGATTAGTACTACAAAAAAGTTTAAAATTTATAAAAAGCAATGGCGACATCTCTCGTTCGAATTGTCGTTGTAAAACGATATTCGAAATTGTTTGTATGCTGGAAAGGATATAACAAAAGATGCGCCAAGCATTGCTTCGAATGCTAAATAACAATGTAGAAAGAAGGCGTTAAGATTTTCGTCGCTGTGGTTATCAGCCGTTTAGCTCAGTGGCTAGAGCGTCAGGCCGCGAATGCCGAAGACGTGGGTTCGATTCCCACAGCGGTGACAATCTTTTCGTACTTTTTCTACATGTTTTAATGTTCAATCTTAAGTGCAGAGATTAGCACTATAAAAAACTTTAAAACCTATAAAACTGGTTATAGATAAAATTCCCATAACATCAGATAATGAAATTGCAAGTAGTTTCGAAAGCTATTTTGCAGAAATTGCTGTTAATGTCACATGTACATTAAAATCATCTCCCATAAATGCAATTAACATTTTAAGAAATAATGTAACCTATTGTCCACACACATTTAAATTTAATCACGTAGATACTTATGATATTATAAAATTTTTGTTTTCTATTAATCTTAAAAATACAGGGGATTTATGGGGCATGTCCATAAAATTAATGACTAAAATAGTGCCATATATTGCACCTTTAGCTAATATTTTTAACAACTGCATAGATTCTGGTATATTTCCAGATCTTATGAAATTTAGTAAGATAATCCCCGTCGTCAAAAGTGGCGATAAAAATGATTCAGGAAACTACAGACCTATCTCCATATTGCCATCTCTGAGTAAAATTTTTGAAAAACTAATTTTAAATCAGCTCTTAGTACATTTTAATATGAACAAAATTTTTCACAATGAGCAATATGGATTCACTAAAGGCAGATCGACAACAGATGCGGGTGTCGCATTTGTCAAGCATATTTATAACGCCTGGGAAAGGTCGCAAGATGCAATAGGTGTTTTTTGCCATCTTTCAAAAGCTTTCGACTGCGTTGATCACAAAACCCTCGTTCAAAAGCTTGATTATTATGGCATTCGTGACATCGCCCTCAATCTCATTGCCTCTTACCTTAGTAATAGAATTCAAAAAGTATCTATAAATGATGTAAATTCCGCAGGGTCCCCCAATGAAAATGGGTGTGTCACAAGGATCAATCTTGGGCCCATTATTATTCTTAGTGTATATAAATGATCTCTCCTTTTATGCCAGTGAGTTATGTGATGTTGTACTGTTTGGTGACGACACATCGCTCAATTTTAAGGTTGACCGAAACGTGTCGAATTATGACGACGTGAATACTTTCGCGTATCCTCCACTGGTTTACCATTAATAATATGGTGTTCAATGCTAAAAAAACTAAATGCCTTCATTTTGCCTTTCCCAGCGTAAGAAGGCAAAGTTTTAGCTTAAAATTAAATAGCGTAATCCTTAAATCTGTTGAGTCCGCTGTATTCTTGGGAATTACAGTAGATTCAAAGTTCCAATGGAGTCCCCATCTATCATCTCTTGCGAATAGGTTAAGCTCCACTGTTTTTGCAATTAGGAAGGTTATATAGGGTTAGATAGGCAGCTATACTGATCAGACATCTATACTGCCAGACTTATTTACTTCAGTTATTTTCAAAACATCTTGTCGTACGGCATTTTGTTGTGGGGTAGTGCATCTGATATAAATTCTTTATTTATTCTTAGAAAAAGAGCTGTCCGAGCAATCTATAACATCGGAGCCCGGAATACACTCAGAGATCTTTTTAAAGAGATTAATATACACACTGTTGCGTCTCAATATGTTTATTGTAATATTTTGTATGTTAAACATAACATTAATAATTATCTAAAGAATAGTGACAGACATAAACTAAATACTAGAAATAAGGACAAACTAACTACGCCATTGTTTCGTCTACAAAAAGTAAACAGGTCGTTCATGGGGCAAACGTTCATGGGGGTGTGCGCATGTATAATAAAATATCACAGTCGATACTAAGTCTGCCACTTGATGAATTTAAACGAAAAATTAAAAGTAAACTTATGGCCAAAGCCTATTATACTATTGCCGAATATCTTGACGACGCCAATGTATGGGGTTAATACTGTTGATACTCACATAGGCTAAAACAAGACTATTATACTGTGCTATAATATTGTAAACTGACCTTTTAAAAAAGAGCAACTGTTGAGTTTCTTGCCGGTTTCTTCTCAACAGAAACTGCTTTCCGAACCCGTGGTAACTTACGAACGTGTTAATTTCTTTGTAAAATTTTGACATTTCATAAGAACGCGCAAGCGTCTATGTGAATAAAGATATTTTATTATTATTATTATTATTATCAATAAATACATTAATAAAATACGGGCGATAAAGTTAACAAACAGCTCGTACAGGATATGGATTTAGACATGATAGATTTAATAAGTTCATTGATTTAACAAAAATAATTGTTTAAAATTATAAGCAATATCTGTTGTTTTACTTAATAATTTCTTGTATTTACGCGATTATAAAAAAAGCAAACCCGATAAATCCGTAAACATAGTTTCATTTAGTAATCTGTTGTTTTGTACTTTTGGACTAACATTTCTTATTAATTGTCAGAATTAATTACATAAATCTTTGCAACTCTACAATAGATTGATAGACTGAACGATGTTAAAATGTTAAAATATTTCACGAGATCTATAATTAACATTCATAAAGTAAAAAACATGTAACTGTACTATAATAATGTGTCGTTAATTAAAACATCTTACAACTTAAACAGATCTTATAAAAACCGTTTACTTTTTAATGACTCCGTGGCGCAGTTGCTAACGTATTGGCTTCGGCGTCGGTGGTCGTGGGTTCGATTCCCACACGGAACAACTATTTTTGCGACCCACAGGTAATTGATTCGCATCTGTGTGTTTATCTACATGCAATTATGTTTTAAAACGTCCTTACAACACAGGATAATGTTATTCTAATGTAAGGGCAATGTTTTAAAAAACAACTTTTCAATAAGTTTTAACCTTTTCTATAACATATCTTATCAAAAGTTACTCCGTATACAAAGGAAACTTACCTTTCTTACATTATATCATTAGATTGCCAACTGTGCCTTCAAAGCGAGATGAGCCGGCACAGTAAGAAGAATTTGATGACTCGTTAGGTACAGTTGATTAGCTATCGGATTTTTACGGATTAAATCCAAATAACGTTACCTTGAATTCATTAATTTTGTCGTCGTTATAAATCCCTTGTGGTTGGAAATCTACTAAGATATCGTCTGATATAGGCTTATATGTATCTATCTGATTTAGGCTTATATGTAGCACAGCGTTCAGAATTGCATTTATTTGTAACACGTACCTGGGGTTCCAATCCAGCCAAAGAAGCGTACGCTATAGATTGCGGTATCAATGTCAGCGCAATAGTTATCCCAGCTATTAGGTCCCCGATGCCCGTTCGCAAGTTGTAATTCCTGGACCATCGCACTATCGGAAACACCCGACCAACAAGGCGTAACGGGTGTGTAAATTTTAACATTGTTTCACCTGTAAAATTATTTATGCACTAATTATTCAGAGAGAGTAGTTCGCCCGATGGAAACAAGTTTCGATCACATTCGCCATATTCAACATTGTAAAGTTTCCTCGTAAATTTCTTATCGTTCAATAAAAAATACCGGGTTTTTACGTCCCCTGTTGCCTTGGGTTTTGCAAGAACATCGGCAAAAAATTATAGATGGGTTTTTGCTTGATGGTTCGTTAATCACTCAAGGTTCATTCTCAATATATTTGTAAAAAACAAATAAAGGCCATGCATAAACACAATTCATAAGGATAAGTCAATACTCATATTATAAAATAGTACCTGGAGGACCGAGCTTTGCTCGGTTTGTTTTTTTTTTTTGGTAATCGTGTATTTTGGAAATTACATTTAGATACAAATTACTGAGAAATGAAATATGCATAATATTTTTCGATTATTCGTAATAATAAGAAAATATGAACTGATGTTTTTCGCTAAAGTAAGAAATTTAAAAATAAAGGGAAAATATAACAAAATCATCTGGATCGACAAAAAATAAAAAATAAAGAAAGCAATGATATGGCATAGAAAAAAAAGTAAAAAAAAAAAAAAGTGTGTAAATGATCGTGATACGAACCGCGGCCGTCTGTTTTGGGTCCGCCCGATTACCGACCGAGCTATTACAACATTTTTTTTGCGGCGAAATTTACCGTCATATTCGAATGATATTTTTCATTTCCTGAAAACAGGGATGAAAGGACATTTTCTAAAAATGAACCCTAGCTCGATCGATTTTCGCCCCCGAATCAAAATTAAACCATAACCGAATATTTGTTAGAAAATCATTATTTGTAATCGTAGATCCGAAGAGTATGAATGAATGAATGAATAATTAGATCCGAATCGTAATCTGTGAATGATTATAAATAACTATATACCCTATTAATTTAAAAATCTATTCTATTAATTTAAAAACAAGATTTTAGAGTATAAGAAACGTAAATATTTATAACTGTTCTTAAATTAAAGTTTGTATAAAAGGTAAAGGTTGGCGCCGCTGTGGGAATCGAAAATCGGCATTCGCGGCCTGACGCTTTAGCCACTAAGCTAAACGGCTGATTGCCACACCGACCGGAATCTTTTATCTAAATTGTTTTTTAGCATTTGAAGCAATGCTTGGCGCATCTATTGTTATACCTTTTCCAGCATAAAAACAACTTCGAATATCGTTTTACAGCTATAATTCGAATGTCACCATTGCTTTTTAGAAATTAAAAAATATTTATAGTGGTAATCTGGCCGCAAAGAAGCCGCTTTCGCAACTATACCCAGTGTTATGGCCGGTTATTCCATAGTTTTCTGATAGTACCTACATATTACACACAATTCTCAAACTACATGGACAACTCAAGTTCGGTCCCGTAAACCGCAGAGAGCAGGCGTTGTGTGCCTGTTGACAGATACAGAAAAAAAAATGTTCCTGTGGTTTCTTCTTTTTCCCTGGAAGTTATTTATACAACAAAGTCAATTAAAGTGTTTCCATTTATACAAGAAAAAATATGCATGAAAAACCGGGCAAGTGCGAATCGGACTCGCACACGAAGGCTGCCGTAGCATTATCTATAAAAAGTACAAAAAAAAAAAACACAGGCACAAAAGATATATCTTTGAAACTGGTGATGCACTGTCAAATTCATAACGAGAGGGAGGACCTGATGACCCAATAATACAATCCTTGAGGTTAATTGTTGCATCAGTCTCCCCAGTATTAAAAATTATAACATCAAGAAGAGAAACAAATAATTATCATGTCCATCTTCTTATTAAACTGAACCTGGATTCACAGCTGTAGCAATGTAACGTAACTAAAAAGAGTATTGGCGCAATTTTTCTGAACACGATGACATACAATTATTTTTACCTAAAGTCGAGTCTGATATTGTCAAACTTCTAAAAAAGTGTCATTTCCATAAAATTAAGTATACATTTTAAGTTTTCGCATTGAAACGCTATTCTTTCAAATCAATAATTTCAAAGAAATAGGGGCATAGTCCATCGTACTGATATATCATATTAAATTGTGGCAATGGCTGTCATATTCTAATCATCGCTAATCTGTAGTGTGTACAAGCACTTACGACATTTTCTAACAAGCCCAGCATACAGTACAGTATATGCTACTTCATTTCTACTTTTATCTTCAATTTTCATTATTTTTTTAATTATGTATACAGCGTGTCGTTACAATCGCGACAATAAATGAACACACGTCTAATGCAACTTGCCAATAATCATGAAAAAATATAAACGTTAAAAAATCCATAATTAAGAGAAATATTTTTCAAACAAACTAATTAAGTAAAAAAGAAACATAATTTGTAACAGCCTATACAACTACAACTGACTGATTCATACATTCAGAGACTTTATCATTCGTTGCCACAGCGTCGCATCACAAGCCTCTCTTTCTAACAGTATGTTTTGTCTCTTTTAAATTCATTCAACCCATTCATATGCTTTGTCAAGCAAACACTAAAAACTGAGTACGCATATTAACAATCAATGTAAATTTTACAATAGGACATCAGTTTTCAGTGAGAGTATTTTGAATATTCATGTCTCCATTATTCATTATATTGAGTTGGACACTGCATTCACATAATACCGAATTATTAATAACACAGACTATTACTGGTTCAAGTGCGCAGATAATTAAAGATTTTATCAACATATATATCTCTGTGTTTATAATATGACATCCAAACAAAACCTCAGGTAGAGCAGAGTAGTCAGGTCGAGTGTTCAGTAAACCAACGTTTATTATTATCATCGATTCAATAACAACCATATTATCTCACTATCATAATACATTTGGGTTTCAATAGTGAAGACTATAATAGAAATAAAGTAACTTATCTCGTCTAAAACTCGTCATTTAACACAGGTTGTTTTCGGAAGAATAAATCACGTCGCTGAAACACATTTAGCTGTTAAACGAGTACCTGTTATGAAGATTGTTTTATGAAATAGTGAGTTTATAATTATTTTGATTTTAAGTGCTAGTTTCCTCACCCAAGGTGAAATTCACATAGCAGTTATAGTAATTTTTCAAAGACGTTCAAGCACTTTGTGCGAAATGAGAAATACTGCAATAACGAAATATAATTTGAAGTTATACTTTTTTTGCGTGTTTGGAAAAATTATTACAGTGAAATTCATCCAATGTCTTTACATTGAAGTAGTATAAATTCTAACGTGCGGTATATAACCTACACACATACTTTTTAATGAAAATTTCAATCAAAATATATTTAAATGACTACCAAAGCATTCCGTGATAAAATTAAAATTTTGTATTACGATTTATAAGTGATAAAAGTCTTTTGTTTATTTATTTTGCTGATATATTTTTGAAGTGAAACTTCTTTATCGGGGTTGGAAAAAAATTTAGTGTAACATTTTTCCGTTACGCGCCATCTTTTTTTTATCTTAAAATGTTCCTCTAACGCCATCTAGTGTTGAATAGGGTTTGTTCATAGCAATATATATATATATATGTTATATTAAAGTGATCAGCAAAATCAAAGGGTTTATTTTAATTCTAATTCTAAAATGTAAACAATATATTTCGTATTTCAGTTACCATAAGCCATTAATAACACAAATATATAATAACGACATCAATGATAGTAATAATTCTATTACAATTAATGAAATTCAATAATAATCTTTGTAGTAAGGACAGTGCTAGCTCTAATACTTCAGAGCACAACACTGTGTCGACTTCCTCTTGTCCAAAGGCAGGCATCGCCCACCGTGACCTGACTGCGCCTTCCACCGAAGACACAATCTGAAGCTGACCGATGATGCTCTTCGAAACCTCGATCGGCTCCTGGAACTTGCGGTTGCGACGTCGATCCAACGTCCGCAAGTTCGGTTTTCCAAAAAAACTTCACTCACAACACTCGCGCGCGAGTCGAATTTCTGCCTTCTACTCACTGGCTGACTATTCGGCAACGAAGGACCATGTACAAATTCAAAGCGGTTGTATTTTGGGTCCGTGAGGTTAATTGAAATAAACAAGGTTCACGTTGCAAGTGTTTTTTAATCAACAATTTTTGCGGACCCTCTTACTAATTACAACGGTCAAACCATAGTGTGTTTTAATTTATTACTAACGCCACCTATGTATTACAAACAAGAAACTAAATATTATACAAAGCTAAAATGAAATAATTGTAGAATTTGTATTTATGTCTATGATATAAAAGCCTTTTATTAAACTTTATCTAATTTAACTTTATTTAACCAATTTCTGTAAAGTTGCATATAGTAAATATTTTTTTTTTTTGAAAAATAACGTCATAAAAAAGTTTCACTTCTTACGAGTGTACGCTAGTACACGCACACATTTTTTTTTGAATAAGTGAGTGTTTGTATAGTAATACTCGTACTTTCAAACACACAATATTTTTATGACGATGTTAAGGCGGCGGTATTCACACCTGTTACACCTGCACATCTGCTACACCTGATTATTTGCAGATGTGTTGACAACCTTTTTGGTTGGGCTCCGGCTACCTCACACGCCAGACGAAACGCGAAAGTATTATACTTCCACTTTACGCCGGTCTTCAGTTAGGTCGTGGTACTTACCCGGACGAGCCTGCCCATTCCTGCAACAGCTGCTGCGTGGCCCTATCACATTTATAAGAAACTCACATAATATAGTTATAAGATACTCATAGTATAGCAGTGTATGTAGTCTGAAGTCAAATATTGTCCTGGCAGTCGTAACTTATTCACAAGTCAATCATAATATAACTCCCTTAATATCCGATGCACGTGTTATAAAATTATGTCTTTTTTGCAAAAATAAAAATGACAGAAACGTCAAATTTTGGTAATAACTATGTGGTCAGATTAAATTATTAAAGTCTTTTTTAATTTAACATCCATTTAATGTTATAACAATGTAAACTTACTTTGGAGCTAGATTCTGCAAATAGTTATTTTTTATTAAACTTGAAGCTAAAATACTTTGGGAAACAAGTCGCGAAGGCTACATTTTGTATAGAGGTTCACAATTATAACAATCGAAACGAAACGCTAATGTATCGCCGTAATCACTTAAACTATTTCCGCGTCACCTCACGTACTTGCGCCGGCGCGAATATAACAACAAAACTTGCGCATTGGGCAACGGCGTACCGTGGACTGACTTGCATCGCATCCGCATCACTAAGTACTCGAAGCTTGTTCACCATCAGAATCCTCCCTGTGACCATAAACCAATTTGATTATACCAACCTGCCAATATGTACAACGGACAATTAAATAAAATTTAAATATAAACTAAACAATAGTACTAAACACACAACTTTCTACAAAAACAACATTAAACAAACGATGTAAGTCATCATGTTTTATTTTTATTTATATGACAAATAACAAGAAAAATAAAATCCTTAAGAAGTTACACATAACCATGACTGACTATCTGTGTGTATTTCACTCTATATAGATTTTGCGGTTAGTATTTAAGTTAACACAACTAGTATTCAAACCCACGACCTAACATCAGTTCGACCTCAAGTTAGATATCTATTTATATTTTTATTACTTGAACAAGATGAATTCAACTGTTCGTGTGATATAATGATAATAAAATAATAGAAATAATAATTTGAAGGATTGTCGATAAATCACAGATAACAAACGAGGAAAAATCCTTAAAGAAACATCGCCCATCTTAGGAAGTTACCTTACATTTAATCTAAGGTTCGCTTTTATCGTCTTATAACAGACCTGTGACGGGTAAAATTTTATCTTATTCCTTTATCATTAAATTTACTTTATTATATCATGCTGTGATCTCCAACAGTCTACTGAAATACCTTTTGAACTCTTGAGAATTGATCACCGCGGTGATAAATAGCGTAACAAAAACCAATCGCTCAATACCGATTTCTATTGTATGTATGTACAATTAATGTGACGAGTATGTTTTGCCAAAAAACGAAAGAGAACTTTAATGATGAAATCACTGAACGAAAGAATTGTGGATGTTTTCCTTTAAACAGTTTTCCTTAAATAGTAAATTATAGTTATTTCCCTTCATCGTCTATATATTGGTCAAAATATTTTATTACGTTTTATAAAATTATATTTACATCGGATAGTTTGAATTTTTTTTTTGTAATATAAAATTATATGTTTTTGACCTTTAGTTTTTTTTTTAATTATACATAGAAATATACCAAAAATCGACTTACATGAAATCAAATTATTTCAATCATGAGAGACTGGTTATTTATAAGACACGGCTTTTATAATATAATTATCTGCTTTCAATAAATAACATGGGTTAGTACTATTAATAGCAGATAAGTAAACGAAAAAGGTTTAAATAGAACGAATAACTTCATTGTACACCTCATCCACATAATTGCTAAAATCTATTGAAATGCAATTTAAAGTTAAATTAACTTAAAGTTGATTGTGCTGCTTAATTACATTGCTTTCTATAACAGTTACAGTTTCCAACTCTTAGTGGTACAATTGTAGAAAGCTTCATTGGTTTCAAATTGAACATAATTATCTTATAAACTGGTATGTCCTTGTCTCTTGTTATTTGAATTTTTTTATGGTCATAAAAGTATTTTACTTGAATAAAGTACTTCAATACTAAAACTTACAGTTTGTATTCCTATGCTCGTCATATAAAACTTTCATAACTTTAACGATATGACGAACAGCTCATTGCATTAAAGATTTCATCTACATTAAATTAAGCAGGAACCTGTTTCGCAATAGCATGAAGAGAAACACAAAATTGAGCGTTAATGTTTACGGGTTAAATTTCTCTTTCTTCGAACCTTTTTTGTGTTATATTTTTACTACCTAAAATTACTCCGTCATCACTCCTTGTATCAAGAATAACACGAGCAAATTAATAGCCTTATTTAAGCCAATGAATTGAAAAATATGAAAAAACTATTGTTCACATTATTGTAACATAGACCCAGTATCATAATATAGAAAGCAGCTAATTATAATTTAGTTTCAACTTTGACAGCATATATAAATTAGGTTTGAAGAAATATCCAATTACTGTTCATTGGCAATAGATTTTTGGTTTTATTACTTACAGATATCAATTTTCGTGGTCTTACATTTGACCGTAATAGCATTTTGTTGCAATCAAATGTATTGAAATCTTTACAAGTCTTGTTTAACTCTCTCCAATAATGTTGTTGACTGAATGCTTTGAATAAACATATTACATAGTAATGAAAAGTATACTCTAGGGATCTTTCATTCTCCTCCGAAATTTTAATATTGCCACTACAGATTTTCTCATATACGAACAAAATGTTTTGATTAATGTTTAAATTGTTTTCTTTTTAATTTTTTAAGACAAATACTCAACGATAAGCTTTATAACCTTGCATTTCAGTGTCACAAAGGATATAATAGAAAATCTTTTTAGATTTATCATCATCAACACGATTTATATAAATAAGATATTTATAAAAAATAATATATTTATATAATTGAATTATATAAATAATATATTTATATAATTGACATAGTAAAGTCATTTTTAGCTAAAGCGGCGTTTAAAAAGTAAGTACTACATAATTATCACTATAAATTGTATGAATCAATAGAGAACTATAAATATTTACAGTTATCGTTATTAATTACGGTGTTAATAAAGATAGGTGTTGTCAAGTCATTCTATAAAGATCATAAACAAAAGGATGTGGACGTAGTTTTGCGCCCAGAAAACGCAGGTAAGAATCCCGCAGCGCCGAAAATGTTTGTTCATTTTGACAAAAAATTACAATTTTAAGATTAATCTCGAGTGCTGAGACTACAAGTAATTGATGCCAATTTTTTTTATATATATTACAGATATATAAAAAAGAAACAATTTAACTATTTACTAATTCTGTAGTGTTCCCTTTTAAACTCATATTTCTTTATAGAAGCAGAAATCTGAAGCAAAACATGTAAAAACGTCAATTAATTAAATGACAAGAAATTATCATAAACTAATTTGTTTTTAGATCAAGTCCATTAAAGCCTTATTGTGCCAACGGGCCTTGCTTTCGTCAAGTCAGAAAAATAAATACTAAATTGATCGTTAAGTAAAATAATAAAGCAATTAATTTATCAGATATAACAATGTAGATCACAAAGGTCTATACCTCGTAATAATAATCGTTTTATTATTTTTGACTTTCATACAGCCGAGTATCTGTTTTGTTGCTTAAAATGCCATTGACGTAACATAAGATATATACCTAACATGGATATTACTAAGGTACATGGCAGTTAATTTCTTTGGCAAATAACTCGTACCAATGCAAATATTTTTAAAGCTACTCGCATTGGTTTTTATGCTTAAATCAAATATAACATGTTTGACTTGCTTATTTGCACGTCTAAAAAAGGTATGCGAGTTGTCTCGATTTGCGTATGTTAGTCTAAAAATGTAATATGCCGAAGGAAACCTAACAGATTTTATTAGCCAATTAGGATAAACGTGGTGATTAAGCCTAAAATTAAAATAGATAATAGAAGTATTAGGAAGTATAGTACCTCAGTCAAATATTGAGTTATATCTTCATTGGAAGATATAACTCTCAAAAGGAAGGAAAAAGAGGTCAGTGGCATTTAAAAATGGCTGCGGACTAGAGTTAAAGAGAAACTAGAAAAGAGTTACTAAAACATTAGTGCTAGAAATTAGTTAAATTAAACAAAAGAATTCGTATATAACATCAAACACGAAGAGTAGGACAAGGTGAAAGAAATGAATATCACACCAAAAACCTTACCTTTGACTCTTTTCCGAGGAAATTCGTTTTAAGCTGAGGGATGTTACAACCGCAGCGATGCAGAATTCGAAATGAGGAGACCATGCATCATCCGGATATTGTACTCAGAGACTGTAAGTACTGCTCTGTATAATCTAGGCGTATATTTCATAGTAGATGGACGACCGTGGTAGCTCAGTGTCCAGGCCCATCTTTTAATTCTATATATTGGAGCATCAGGAGTTCAAATCTCGACATGGTTAACAACAACTTCGAATGTTCTTATTCTAATTTACAACCTGCTGTATGGTGTAGCAATGCAACGTGAGGAAACGTTAATGACAAGGAATGTTTCACAAAATATTTAAAAGTTTTGTAATTTGTGTTAGTAAATCTTACACTCTTCATTCAAATAATGTCACGAATGAAAAATATTAGTCTCTGTACTCCTGGCAACACTGAGTGATGTCATAGACCCACTTCCTTTTTATATTGTCCATCGCACAACATGTAATTTTGATTAAGGTTGATTAATCTCATTTAATAAACTGATTGAGCAATCTTCATATTTATTCTGAAAAGTTCAATTTCAAAATTTCATAATTTCAACAAGAATATGCGAAATCCGATAGTCTACAATTGTAGACTGATGTGAATGTGTGCGATTGTAGACTGTGTATGAATGATCGTAGATTGTAGACTGTGTAGGTCATAACCTAACATTCTGTAAAGAGGCCTTGCCCTAACATCCTGTAAAGAGACCCCAACTAAGATGTCTATTGACAAATACTCTAAAACAGGTCTAAGACCATTTTGTTAAAATTTTTTCATCGCCGGAATGCTGAAATGCCGTCAACTCGTCCTACAATTTTCTAGCTTGAGGAATTTTATACCTTTCATTACTCAATAAATATGCGGCTCGCAAACTGATACGAAACCAAGTCCCTCTGCAATTAATATTAATTATGTAAACCGAAACAATAACACAAGTATCCTTTCCCTCGTGTCATAATGGTAGCAGCATTACGTAGTAACCTTCGGGAATAATAGCTCATTGGTTGGTACTTTTACAAGAAGTGATAGTTTGTTGGTATGATCCCCAGTAAATAGGTAGAAAATGGCATTGAAGCCGTGGATAAATTTAAGTGTAAGAAAGGAAGCAAATTAAGATACTAAATTGACCAATGAAAAGCTATAAAATTATGTTTTATAGATATAATTTATGTTTACGGTATTTGTGTATAAAAGGTATATACTATTTGTTAAAATGTATAGAAATATAGAGAAATAATGCTGTCACAAAATTTACGCCAAGAATTCAAACCTGCGCTCTTCCAACCATTTGTTACTTAAATCATCACCTTGTTCCGTATACTACTAACTCTCCGTCGTAAATAAATCTCCGTAAATAGGTACTTGAAAAGTCGAAAATAAACAATTATATCGTATCGTAGCGGCACCTT